AAAGACTCTGGAAGGAAAAGCACAGCTAACAAAAAAATTATCTTTAATGATGACCTCGCTTTACATTAATTATTTTTTTTCATCAAGCATTTCTAAAACTTCTTGATTTAGAAGGCACAATTTAACTTTGAAATGAACCTTTTAAGAGATACTTGGAAGATTTAACTGCTGTCTTTGCTCTTCTGAGACAAGTATTTTAGAATCTGCTGTCGCTTCAAGGGCATCAGTTTTATACAAGTTGACAGGAACAGACCTCCTTGAATTCTGGCTAGTAAAACAGAGCTCAGCTTTCCAGGTTGAGAGAGGAGCCATAAAGCCACCCAAAATTGGCTACAGAATAAAAAATTAAAAGATAAAAAAATAGGAATATAGATCAAGTACGTAAAGCAAAGATACTAAAAAGCAAACCCAGGTCCAGCAAATACCTTCTAGAGGAACACTGATTACCACAGAAATTGTGCCAGAGCCAGTGGATGCTCCCACCAGGTTTCTCAGTCAGATTCGCAGAAGCCAGCACATCAGTCTTCTCCCAAACCAAGGTCGTGAAACTTTCTGGAGCCACAGAGCAGCATGGCTAGACTACAGTTAAACTTGTACTGTCCTCTCACATGCTGGAGGAATCAAAAGAGGGAAGGAAAGTTCTGCACCGTGACGAAAAATGTATCATGACTGCTTCTCTCTAGGCACAGGGGACAGCTAATTTGTGTCAGTCTCTCTCTGTTTAACAGGTCAGCTCATGAGCCACCACTTTGCAGCTCTGGGAACCTATAGCGTCAAAGCAAAATAACAGCCACTGATCAGAGATCCTAATAAGGATGCTAGGATACCCTATTCCTACCTGCATACGTAGCAGAGGAAGACAATGAAGAGCAGAGAGCAGTAGAACAAGACAGGGCGGAGCTGTGCTATGGCAGCTCCACCAATTCAAACCAGTTTGGTGGTATTATGCACACAATCAACATTGCTGTGATATGCTTCAGAGGGGTAAGACAGAAAGCGTATTTTGGAAGATCCGCTCAAGACGTTCAAGGAGAAAAAGAACACGGTGCTTGTCTTCTAGTGCGTGTAAGCTGACAACATGAGCAGAAAGCTCCGCATGAGGACAGTGTCCCAGGGTAAGCTACAGGACACTTGTTCACAAGGTCATTTAGCCAGAATGAAACTCCAGTACAAGGCTGTACTTCTTCTGTCATAACTCATATAGGTATAAACCAATAAAGCAGGAGGTGGGCAGAGCTTCTTTCTAAGCACATCATACTGGTCTGCAGCCTACACAGGCTTGACAGACTCAGTGACTCTGAGCTGTCATGGTAGAGCAGTGAATCCAGTGAAGGACTCAAGCACATATACTCCATCTGTAGTGCTGAAAAACACGTTTGGCTTCCAGCTACACCACCAGGCATTCTTACGACACCCATCACACTCCAGCATGGACCAGCACTCCCTGGGTCTTGAGCAGGCACGCACTTTGAGAAGGCAGAACTAGAAGCCCAGATGCTTCCCACGGCTTCCACCACAGGAGAGAGAAATAAGTGTCAGGGCAGCTAACAGAGCCCAGGGAGCTACTCTTGTGTAGGTACTTAAAGGCAGGTGTGGCACGGCTATGTGATGAAATGAGGTCTCAAAGGAAAAAGAGGAATCAGTTCCTACTGATGGAACCATGGACCACTGATCTACCTTGCTCTTAGCCCATGCAGGATCCCGACACCAAACATTCCTCTAGTTACTGCCCAGCAATGTGATCCTACAGGTATCCTCATGGAACCTGCATGTAGTAGCTGCTTCCCTCTAAAGCAGACAGAAAAAGATGCCTTCCTTTTGAAGGCAATGGGCCAGCTGATGAGGCATTCAGGAAAAGGGAAGCCATCACTGTGGTTCCCAGCTCTTAGAAGGGAGTTCAGATCCACGCTGACAATAAAAGGTCTTACTGCCAGGCTAGAGGTTGTGACAATTATGGACACCTTCTCTCCTGCCACAGCTATGTCACAGCACGAAGAATTTAACTATCAGTAGAGCAGAACCAGGAAGCAAATCACAGTATGCAGGTTATAGCACACTGTTCCAGGCAAGCGCTAAGACCTCACCGCAAGGCTAGATTTTGTATGCAAGAAATTAAGGTCATATACAAGAAGTGCTAGGAGCAGGAACGCATGTACACTCAGCTACTTCACCAGACAAAGGAAACATTTATTCCTTTCACAGATTAAAGATGCCTATTAAAACATCAAAGATGCATACCTAGAAGTAAGCTTTCTGTATCTGCCTTGCAACTAAAAAAGGCTATAACCTATGCTAAATAGAAATGAACCTTTTATCTGAAAAGTTGAAAAGTTTTAAGGAGCTAAATCTAGAAAATTGAGGAAAGAGGGCAGGCTGAGGCAAAAACCTTCTCTTCTGGAACGTTACTGAAACTGTACTAAAGCCCACAGCAAGACAAGGAGTCCAGAGAGTTAAAGAAAAGTTGATCCAACAGTGGACTCTAGGGTGCTAGCCAGACTAGTGGCCAGAAATAAGATACAAGGAGGAAAGAACCAAAGATGATCCTGTTCAGGTCAAACCAAAAAGTTCAGTTGATGCAAACAAGGAGACCAGACAGCTTCAGGAGACAGATCCTCTCTTCTTTAAGTAAAGAAGTCTTAAAAGTAATATTGACATTGCATTTTGATGTTTCTAAATGCTGAAATAGTGTTGTGGCATATTGGAATTCCTCCTCCCCAGTCAATCTTGCCACAGCTGAAACTGTTTAAGTTTCAAAATTAAACCCAAGGGTGACTAGCAATCTGGCAAACATTGACTGCTAGTTAAACAGACAGTTGCATTTTTGTGTTTTATGAGGTTGGTCTCGACTATTTAAAATACATAAATATATTTCAGTTTGACTTTTGGCTGTTTTTCCTTTGGATCAGCTATTACTTTCTGTTAGACATAATACATTGAGTGGAAGAGTACGGAATTTAAGTTTGTATGAATATCCCCTTAATTCCCCAGGCAAAAGGGATTCCTTGCTCCTGTTGTGGAGGAACTACAGGAATACTACTCCATTTTGTCTGAAGACGCCACTCACCCACACCAGTAAAGAGTGGACACGCAGAGCTGCAGGCGAGCATTGAGAGTATGGTAAGAGAAGAGATGGAGGAAAGAGCAAGGGAACAGGTAAGACAGACTCGCTGATGACAACAGCTGATAGGCAGCCAGCAGTTTTGGACTGGATCGACTATTACTCAATAACGCTACGAGTGCACCTTGTCTGCATTTGCATCTTCCTCGACAAGCCTCTTTCATTTAAGAATTCACACAATTCTGAATGCAGCTTCCCACTGTAAGATAGACTCACCAATGCTGGCCCCTTTGGCTGTTAAGATCTGATATACGCTGTGCAGGTGGAAGAGGGGAGGGGGTCTGTCTGCAGTGGAAATATAATTTGCATGCATTTTGGGCAACTACCAAAAAAACATATTAAAAACAAAGGACTGAATTTTAAACATGTGTCAACTCCAGCCTACATTCTTTTGCAGCACAAGAACTCATTTATTACCATCACTATCTAAGCCTGGTATGCATGAAAGCTCCTTCCCAAACCGCACAAACCATCTAACCGAAATGATAACTGGTCAGCTCACCCTACCATGAAATACCCAAGCCAGTCTAGATTAAGAACCACAAGTACCTCCGTGCAGCTTTAGTTTGAATTGTTATTCAAATCTGTCTTTTCAAAGACACTTATCACAACAAGTTCATTAGCGTCACAACATTTTTTTCCATGGAAACAGTTACAGTTTTACTTCATTGTCAGGCAGAAAGATACTGCTTGTATCTTGTAAAAAGAAAGACATTGAGAACACAGGAATCCAAAGCTGGTGGTTATTTTTTACTCGAAGAATCTTTGACAAATATTTAAAAAAAAAAAAAAAAGAGTATTGTTACAGTTAATTCATTCCTTCTGGAATTAAATTGGACATGCTTGTTCAAGATGATGATATGAAAAGGGCAGTATGACTTTTACAAAACTGATATTCAAGCATTATCAACACACACAAAGGACAGGCTCTTATGCGCTTTTGTTACATTGCAACCTTAGATCAACCTCAGTAAACATCTTTGGAACACAGATGAAATAAGCAACTTAGATATTCACAGGACAAAACCATAACATTATTAAAAATATGAACAGTAAGATTTAAACATATCAGCAAATGCAGGTTCCCTACAGATAATCAGAACAGTACTTGCATAAGTTACTATAATCACAAGCATAGGTCTGCAACACAAAGGCTGGATTCCAGCAACTCGAACACTTATGACTAAGAGGCAGTTTTTGAATTTGTTTGACTACTTGCCTAAGGCAGGGAGGCAGTAAGAAAAGGCAGAAGTGCAGGAGGCAGAGGCAAGGTAGATTAGTGCTAGAATTTCTTGTTAAACCAGGAAGCTAACAGGAAAGCAGCAAGGAAAAAGGTTGTGTTTGTTCTTTTAAACCTAAAAGAAATGTTAGCCAAAAGTTATCAGTATATACTTTCTGTATTGCACGATCAGTTTTAAAGTAACTAAAAAATTAGAAAATCCTAAAAAAACTCTGCACTTGTAAAAGCTACATTTAAATATATTTAGTTCGGATACAGTTCAGATTTAAAAAAAAAATTCAACACTTTCCCTATCAACAGCACACAGCACTTCTGTGTCCCTTGTCTCCTCAAACCCTCTCCAAACTAAGGAAATATACCATCTATCAAGGACAACGCTACTACTTCTCCTTAATAAATCATGGAGTTATTGCTTTACTTTACTAGTGGCAAAGGCTAAGATCTACACTTTTAGAGAATTTAAGGCAAACCCACAAGACTAACACCTCAAGGGCATTTATGGTACACGTCGGTTTTCGTTCACACACCAGGAGAAGTTCTGATATTAAAATAAAAAGATAGGAACGCTTAAATTTTAACCAAAAGGATTATTTCAAGCATTGCAGTTATATCTTCTAAACACATAACCCAGTAGTTGTTTGGTTTTTTTTTTGGCCTGGGATAAGTCATTCCAGAGCACCAAAGTTCAGGGGGGTGGGGGGCAGCGAAGGAAGCAGTTCAAGGACATCTTATAACAACTCATTCTTACTCATCTAAAAACCTTTTGAAAGGTTTGCTCAGATATTTGGAAAGCTGAATCACTTTTTTCCATTCGTAATACGCAGGCTGAATTATGATCTACCTGATATACATAACATGCAATTTACAAAGAAACGTTAAAGAAAGGACTTCCACAAAAAAAGTTAAGTATCCTTAATAGCTTTAGATAAACTGATTCACTTAATAAGAACTGTAAATATTGTTTTTTCTTAATAATTTTTTCATATCCCACAAAGTTCATTACTAGCTCCTTGTCTAACAGTCTGCCTTCATAATAATCCCATCTGGCAGCCATGCTGGAGTGAAAACATCATCAAGGGCACTTCTATGCTCACAGTCTCAATGACTCTCCATTGTTTACTATTGACTCAGATTTGTCAACTGCCTGCCAGTCCTACAAGCCCACTGAGATGAAAGCGGAAAAAGACCAGCAAGAACAGGCCTGCTAGAAAGCCTAAGCGTCCTCATCATTAAACTAGCCTTTCACTCGCATATGCTTCAGAAACTAACAGAAGGAATACGGAAGTTTAAGGGATGCAAGACACAGTGGTCCAACGCTTATATGCACTCTTTTTATTTCTACATAGAGAAAATAGAAATCAGAGAAAACAGCAGGCTACAGTTTTTTTAAATAACGATTAAGGTATATTGTTTTAAGATGGTTTTGTGAAAAATGAAAAGATGACATTGTTAGAAAAAAAAAAAAAAAAAGAGTAAGCAGTTATTTCAAGTTCAAACCAAGTAATGCCTGGTTGGATTTCTAATAAGATTTGGTTAAGCATAAATTATTGATGATGTATTAACAACAAGCAGAGTTCTACTGCCATACAGCAGGAAGAACGGGTAGGATTCACACTCAACAGAAGTGTACCCTACGTGTAAACTAACCCTGTTTGAATCAGTCATTGCGACTTGCTACTTTTCATTTTTTCAGAGTAGAATTACTTCACCAAGAAGTATAGTTTTCTGTAATCTTCAGAATAGAATAAGAATCTCCTATTCATGTTCTAAAAGAAATCAATGCAAATAGTAGGTTTCTGGTCAGAGATTCTGCACTACACAGCGCACTTCCAGTAACTTCCATCTGTGAGGATGGCAAAGACGAGCACTCCAGCTTTTGCTCGCTCCACCCTAACTCCAGCACAGTGGATGTGAACAGTCAGCAGAAGCACAAGATGCATTTCAGAAGGGAACTTCTGCTCCTCTGAATGAGGGTAATAACGTGATTACAGAAATACCCCAGTAACCTAATTACAGAAAAATTTACATTTATTTTAGGTAGTTGTTTATACTGCAGATCACTCCTTCAATTACAGTTAAGTTTTCAAAAGATGACAGAAATGTCTCAAAGAAACAGTGCTTTACGTTATTTCAAGGGAACCTGATTCTGTCCTGGATCAGGGCAAGTTTATTACTCTGAAGAGGAAGATCACTTCCCAAAGGAGCTTTGGGGTATTCTTGAGCTTGTGTTTTAGCTCCTTTGGATCTGTTCTCCCTGTCATTTTTCTGTGCTCTAGTAGCAAATGCTAACTTACTTATTTGTCAGCTATAGCAGACTTGTAGTATTCGAAAGAGCAGAAGAGTTGTGTACCAAGCTAATGACATTGATTTGTAAGGGAGCATTCAGGTCAAAGTGGGGCAGAAGAGCACTCCGATGCGCTTCAAGAGTTTTGTGCTCAAATTTTTTACCATGCGTTAACTTCTGGTTGAAGACAAAATTCACACTGAGGACTGGGTCAGGAGTGTATGCTACTTCTATTGGCAGGCAGAAAATACAACATTTTACTTTCTTCAGAAGCTCATAGTAACTTGTCTCAAATATATTCAGACATAAATGCTCAGAAGCTTGTAAACAGACATCAAAAATATCTTTTCCTCAAATACACGAAAGCAGCCAGAAATTGCTTTTTCAATACTAGGAATTTTACATGGTTTCCTCTGAACTTTCACATCCTCAGCAAGCAGAATAAGAAGCTTGCTGAACTATGAATGACGTTACATTCTTCCGCTGCTCTTCTGACTTCAAGTCAAAACATAGCGTCATCGGATCATAGTTTTGCCTCCAAACTGGAAATACAGAGCTCTGATGTTAACTCATACTGCAGAAGTCGGCTTAGAAAGTCAGAGAGCAGAGGAAAAAGAATGCAGAACAGAACACCACAAGTATTTTGCAAAATGCATCTTCACTCTAATAAAGGGAAACTATTTCTTGCTAATGCTTATTCAACATTAGAAAGTTGCTGCTTAGATTTGAAGACAATCAATATATTCCACATTGGTCTCAGCAACTTACAAAATGAAGGGTAGCTTCTAGTAAGAGATCTGGATGAAGAAGAGAGGACTTTTTGTAGCACTCATTGTCATAGCAGAAGAACTAGGCTGTTTATAACGGAATTTTTTTTCCCCCACATAAAAAGCCTGGAAAAGGTCCCATAATTGAAGGAATTTTTCCCCTCAGCATTTCTTCAGAGCACTACTAGACAGATTTCTATTGAGAAACCTTTCTGAATGCTTTAACAGCAAACAGGTTAGTGCATTTTCCTTCCTAAGGTTCCCTAACGCGGAAGTACACTGGCTTATATTCTGTAAAACAACTATAGAACAAGTCATTCAAAAAGCCAGGCAAATTATTTCTTGTCACTTCTCTGCATACAGACAGGAGAAGTTCCAGCCATTTGCAAGAGCATGTTTTAGTTTTGAATACCTGATGCCAAAGATATTTGAAGTATATCTTTTTTCTGAATTAGTGAAATGCATCAATACTACCATGACAGGAGTCACTCCTCTCTTCAAGCTGAAGGATCTGATACAGTCAACTCCTTTTGAGTTAGTGACTCACAAACAGTAATTCTGCATGCAAATAAAACTAAGATTTATCCATTGTAGCAGTAGGGTTCACTGGGCGCTGTCTTACAGCATTCATTGAAGAGTTTCTGTTGGACACCTCTTTATCCTCTGTTTCATCATCCGAAAGATCCTCCTCATCTGCTTCTTGCTCTTCATCCAGCTTTTTCAATAGCTGAGCTGACTCTGGAGCTAGCTTTTCTTAAGGGGAAAAGAAAACATGGACATACACAAAAAAAAGTTATCCTGTGAAATACACTTTTTTTTTTTTTTCTTTTAAACATCACAGACCAGCTCAGAATTTTAACAAATTTAAGTCTGGTAATACTTTCAAATAGCAGTCACTTCAAATTTTGCACAAGCAGAAACTTCTATACAATATTTCCCGTCCCACTGACACAAGTTACATACCAATTTTTATCACAAAGATTTATCAAACAGCTTCACTGAATTAGAAGTATACAGCGGGCTTACTGGAATAAGGGTATTGCTGTTGTCTGTGCCTTTTGGATGGACAGAGACAGTCTGCTAAGAACACCATTATCTGAAACCAAAGACAGACAAATTAAAACCTCTACACAATCAGCGTAACACACAGTTGTCACATGACAACCTACTTCAAGTGGTTTACTTACGAGTCCCAGTATCAGCCCTGAGAAGAGAGTTGCCAATGCAAAAATAGCGTATGAACCCCAAACTGGTATTCCAACGCTTTCTGTCAAATAACCATGGCAATGCTAGAATAAACGACACGAGAATCATTTCACGAATAGCTAAATATCACGTATGTTAAAACAAAATAAAGTTCAAATCTAAGCACATACCCTGATCCACATTGACAACTGAAACAAAGCAGACATACTGCTCATCCTGAAACAAAGCAGAAAAGAACAACTGAAAACATCTTTTTTAAGCTAGCCACAAATCTGTTTGTTCCAATCTGTCCAACTAGTCATTATTTAGACTCACACTGAACAACTTGCCAGTCGTGCCAGGTTTCCCTTCTAAACACTTTGCTTTTTATGTTAAGTCTTTTACTCAGTAAACAAACGTTTCCTATGAAGTAGCCGCTGGTACCAACAGGTTTATTTATCATACAATATTTCAAATCCAGACAATTACCAATTCTAAAACTTCTTCAACTTGTACCTGCTGACATATGAATTTCAGGGACTTTTATTTATGTTCTAAATTATATTTGGAACAACAGCCTATGAGAAGCCGGCTGGAACTCTAAGACATTAAGAATTTGGATATTAGATTTAAAATTAGGAATTAATAGACTGATTGCTTCTTTTTCACATAGGTGAACAAAACCAGGCTAACTGCCATATATAGTATGCTAGCTGTGATATTTCTCTGTTGTGAAACTTCAGCATTAAGTGCGCCTTTTTTCTAAAGGAAAGGAGAATTTCAAAGATTAAGCCAGCGTAAGTTGCTAATAGGGGAGCCACAGAAGCGGAGAGTTGTGAACAGATGCATGCATGTTTCAGTACAAACAGAGAAGCAGGTACTGTACACTTGCAATAGAAAACGTATTAATCCTAAAATTAATACTCCTGCACATACACTCCTCCCTGAGGGGGCAATACCTTATAGAAGACCAATGACAGTTTCAAGATTCAGATGGTGCTAAAAGTACACCAAGTAACAATGCTGAGCTGCCCAGAGCAACCAGAGAAAACAGAAAATTTCAGTCTAGAGTAACATTTCTCAAACTGAACACCTAAATCCTAGCCTGCTACAGCGCACTAATGTCTCTCAATTGAGAAATAAAACAATGAACAATTGGGTTCACTTTCCTCAACCAATGGTGTTCCCGATGTGCATTATTACTCACAGTCACTTGACTCCTGAAACCACTTCTTTCTCCCCACCCCACAGCATATGCAGTAGTAACTAAAAGCACTTCAACGCCACCAAACCAAAGGGTATTCCAAAGAGCATCTTGGACTACAGGGTATGACCACTCCACACTGCTTTTAACTTTACTACAGATTGCACTGCTTTCTTAAATAGCAAGCCCCTGTGACACAACTACGTTGCTACATTTTCAAGTTTTTATTTGCTAACATCCTAGAACTCAGTGGGGCAAAGCAGCTTTCTGCTGTATAATCAAAAGAACTTTAAGCATCAGTAAGTTACCTACAGCTTTTTAATAAAATAATACTTCCAGCTACGCTTTTGAAACATTAAAGTAAACCTTGCTCAGGAGATCTCTGCTATGTTAGCGTACACAAATCTCGTACAGCTGAGGACTGTGGTATGACATACGCAGCACGCTTACGTACTTCTTACCAGCAGAGACCTGCTGCCTGAGCTGTGAACAAGCTAAGGACCAATATCTACCTCTGCTTCTCCATGCAGCACCAGGTGTGACACACCTAAGAACTTGTCCCAGCGTGTCCCTGAAATGCATACATTTGACAACAAATTTTTTAAAGAATTATACCAAAACTTACAGAAAAGAGGAAGGACCGAACCACGACGAAACAGGTTCAATGGACTTCCATTCCTGATCACTGATGAAATTTATGAAATCAGTTTTAGTTCTTGCACCCTGGTATCTCCTAAACTCTCCATCTTTACAACTGTAGAATGGAAAAAAACCCAAAATAAATAAAACCAAAAAAAAAAAATACACTTCCATTTTAGTCCAAGCATACAAAATTTGTTTCCACTTAAGAACATGTTTCCTCCTTTTACCTTGCCTATTTCGTTTTTATTTTATTTTGCTTTAGATAATATTGCTTCTAAAATGTTTTTTTAAGAGTCTTGACTCCAAGTATAATAATGCATCTTCTCTAGCTTCAGGTTGTGATTCCACAAAAAGATAATGATCATCTTAATACAATTGCCACACGATGGCATTAAGATTAACCTACAGAGAAAAGATTGCAAAACAGAAACACCCATGAAGGGATGAAATAAATGAGGCCTGAAGGGAAAGGAAAATACTGGTGGCATTGTAAAATCAGAATACATAAGAAAATGGTTCATTCTGTGTAAAGCTACTCACATTCTCAAAGAGCATCATAAATCTCATTTAGCTGTACCAAAAAAGGAATATGACATTTCCTGTCTCCTCCAAAAAAGTGCCACATTGTATACTTACTGATAGATGGTAGGAAGTGCCGTTATGATAAATCGTCCACTTAATCCTGTAAGAAAACAGATGTTTTCAGAATAATAAATGTTTCTAGTCGTTTCTTGTTCTATTGGAGTGCACTATTACACACCTTAAAATTCGTAAAAACAACTGCTCCCAAATATCAGTCTTTAATTCCGATCACACAAACTCGTGTGTATCAACAAGACAGGGCATGATTTAAAAGCAGCATCCCAGGACAAGGAGAGAGAAAATTTCTCTATGGAAAAAAAGATGTCTGGGGATAACAACCGTTTTACTTGACAATTTTGGCCATAACTCTTCAGAAAGAGATGCTCTCTTCTTCCACATGCTCTGCAACCTCCAGTGCTTGCAGACAATAACCCAAGTGAGACAAATTTCAGAAGTTTTAACGTGACTCTGGAGAGTATCAACTTCAAGATTATTTTTACAAGGCCAGACAACGTTATTTTTCACAAATCCCACACAAACGCAGGGGAAATCAACAGAAGCCAGCTTCGCCAAGGGAGATCAGACTTCTTGCACTCCCTTGTTGTCAACCAAGGGGGGTACTGCTACAGGGAAAGAACAGACAACCAAAACGAGATTCTCCTTCTCCATAAGGCTTAAAAAATAAAATCAAAAAGCCCCCTGAAGTCTGCCAATTCACTCTTTAGAGAAAACCTCTAGTTCCTTTATGTATGGAGACTAGATCACTTAATTCACATATAGCAATTTGCCTTCACCAGAGCTCACTAAAGGATTTGTATTATTCTGACTAGAAGTACTGACTCTGTTGGTTTTTTTTTTTAAAAGCACACATACACTAGAAGTTTTGCCTAAGCCAGCAAATACAAAGAGTGTGTGTGTGTGGGGG